TTAGATAGTGGAACAATCCCACAAGAGAAGGGGTGGAGGCTACATTGCTTATCTAAAACTAGACTAGATAAAGCACTCTTCTATATGGCGGAAGAAACAATGCTGCAGTGGCACAGAAAAGGGACAAGCTAGCCAAATAGGCTTTTTCTATATCTAATTTCTCTGATTCAATGGATTTTTTTTATACAAGCCAATTTGTATAATTTATGGAAGATGTGTAAATAGAGTAAGTGGATTTCAGCTGTAGTTTTGCAAAACACAATATACCATCATTTGAATTTGATACCAAATTAAATTTGTGCTAGCAATTCAGACTGTGACATGATTTCCCTTTGTTTAAGGAATAATATCTAATGCTTTGTAGAACAGGATACATCAATATGGGAATGACTGCTAAGATTGATTAGTGGGTGAAATCATTGTTGTGCAATTGCTGTTGAAATATAAAAATTCAGCCATTAGAAAAATCCAACAGCTTATTCATAAAACTAAACAGCTGTACTTTCATGTATTGGCTAACATTTGACAAAAACCCACAGTAGGTGTATTTTCTGTGCCAGTGTTTCTTAAACTGTGCGGCTCCAACTTTTTATTGGCAAGCTGATGCAAAACCCCAGGGAAAATGGTTTCAGATGGAGAAGAAAAGGAATATATATGGTTTTGCTTACTGCTTGATAGAATGGAATCTCCAATAGTGAATATTTACTGGTAGTACTTGAAAGGTAATGCCTAATTTGCTCATCTGAAAGTGGAAATGAACAAGAAAAAAAATACAACAGGCTACCTTATCCACTTTAAATGTTTTAAAAATATAATTCCAAAATGCCCAATTCCCCCCTCCATTTCGCCAGTGAAGGCTACATTCTCCCCTCCACCACATTTAAAATAAATTACATGGAGGGTACCTAAGTATATTTTTGTAAGAGGAGGAAGAATGCCTGTGACAAAGTCTGAGAAACAATATACGCTAATCTAAATGTATCTGTTAAATGGTACAGTGTATACCTGTCATTCACCTGTACCAACTCCATCCAAACGGAATGATTAATCCTTCCCCTCTCAGTTTCTATAACAGAAATCAAGACATTGTATTAGAACAGAATTGCCACACAGCTGCCGATTGATTCATATCTTACCATAGAGTGGTAGGGTATGAAGGGTTGTGTGTTCCGGGGTGAGTACTTCTCACAACCCCTGCAAAAATATCTCTCATAGGAAAGTTAAAGACTTACCTGCTTTGAGTGCCTTTGGGCTGTTGGGAAAGGCTCTTCTCCACCCAAAGAAGGTGAATATTAGGAGTCTTTGGAGCCACTATAAACAATGGCTCCGTGCCCTGAAAGCAAGTGAGACTGAGACCCCTTCCTAAGAGACCACCAATTTTCCTTTCTCATGTCCCTTCTCAAATCACCCTTCTTTGATTAGTCCTGTATGATACTTGTCTGTTATGTTTTACACTGTTTTGGACTCATTTGTGCCTTTAGATGATTATAATCTCTCTGCACAAGGACTCTGCTCTTTGTTGGACACACTGTGAAATCCTGACTCCATTGAAATCAATGGCAAAACTCCCGTTGTCTTCAATGGGGCCTAGATTTCACCCATCATATCTATTTTACAGTAGCATGCACACTTACTCAGCTGTATAAATAACTGATATGACAGAACTTGAACAGCCGCTATGTCAAAGACATCAGTTTTCATTTTGGTCAGTCCTGTGAAAAGGGCTCTATCATGCAGCTGAGGCCACAAATATAATACATGCCTTTAAATTATTAAAAATTGGATAGGAAATCAGTCTGATCCTAAATGTTTCTTTTAATTCTACAATCAGCTGCTTTGTCACCGAGAAAGTAAAAATACAAAACAGTAGCGACAGGGTCCGATCATCCACTGCCATGAACATCATGTAGTTATTTACACCAGTGCAAAGTGGGTTTAAAGAACTATCGAATCAGATTTCGCTACACATCTACTATTAGCATCTTATAATCACTTTGCATAGGTACAAAAACTACATAATGTTCAAGGCCTCAGAGAATAAAGTCCACAATATTTGGGGCAGCAGTTCTCAAACTGTGGGTTGAGACCCCAAAGTGGGGTGTGACCCCGTTTTAATGGGGTTGCCAGGGCTGGTGTTAGACTTGCAGCGCCCGGGGCAGCCTGAAGCTGAAGCCCAAGCCCCACCGCGGAGCTCAGGCTTTGGCCTTGAGTGGCGGGGCTCAGATTACAGGCCTCCTGTCCTGGACTGAAGCCCTTGGGCCCCCTGCCTTGGGTGGCAGGGCTTGGGCTTTGGCCCCCCTGCCAGGGCCGCCGGACTCGGGCGGGCTCAGGCTTCTGTCTCCCCTCCTGGGGTCCTGTAGTAATTTTTGTTGTCAGAAGGGGGTCGCGGTGCAATGAAGTTTGAGAACCCCTGATTTGGGGGATCTAAACGGAGAGAGCAATATGGTAAACTCTGTTGTTAGATGTGCTTTGACAATTAAGTATGTTTAATAACAGAACTGTATCAACAAATACACAAACAAGAACCATGTTAACTTCAGCTCCAGCAGAAATGACTGTTCATGGAAAGTTTAATATTGGTGAAGTGAGATAAAATTGGGAGGTAAGCAAGTAGGGCTTGATTCTGTTCTCATTTACATTGATTTCACACCAGTGTAACACCATTAACTTCAATAGGGTTACTCCTGATTTACTCCAATGTAAGTGAGCTCAGCATCACAGAGAATCAGTTCACAATGTTTTCCGTGTTTATAGTTCTCAGTCATTAAGATAAGGTTTTAAATAATTGAAAATGAAAGTAAATTAAACAGATGGTATTGTTCTTTTAACTTTGATAACAGAGCAAATAACTTCTCTCATCCTCTCCAAAAATAATTGAGAGTTAGAACCTCCTGACAATTCTGATTGGATCCATTACAAGTCATATAAGAATTTTTATGAGACCTCGAGAACAATAATGTGCTCCAGCTGAGTAGCAGGATAGCTATTTAATCAGTTTCTGCATATTCCCACTTTTTTGAGTGATCTAATATTAAAGTGTGAACTAGAATAATAGTGTACCTTTAACTAGATGTCAGAGAAAGCAAACTTGTAGATTCTGCAGAAATACAATTTAATGGCCAAGCCATACTCTTTGGCACTGTTTACAGTATTACAGTCAGTGTACTTTTTTTTTACTTGTAGAGCAGTAGGCAAAAGATTGTCATCATCCACTTGATATTAAGTTATGTTTTAAACCCAAATAGTAAAATATGGGGCTGGAGCTAAGAGAACTCATGGGTAACATTAAAAATGTTAAAAATAAATGACAGGGAAAGACACCAGATAGCACTGCAGACACGTTGTACAGTTGTAATACATACATACATGGCACACATTTGCAGAAATTTCTTCCTGTGTCAGCCACCTATTTATTAGAGATATTACATTCAGACAAATTGAACAGGAAAACCCTACAAATATGTAAATCCCTGCCACAGACACACACATTTTCCAAACATTATGTATACTCTAAAAACTATATATATTTTTTTCTGGGGTGGTGGTGGTGCACATTTCTCACATTTGCCTCTGGTTTGGATACTGAAGTTTATGGATTAGTTATACCATGTGATTTACCTGTGCTGTAGCCAGCTCATCTGACTACACATGCTTTACTGCAAGCATTAAAAGTGGTAATTTAGTAATACCCCTTTCTAAGAAATATGAAAATATTTTAATGCTAATTATTAGCAATGGATTATTGAAAAGACTAAAACATTTCCTTTAACCATTGAGTACATAGCCCTGTAATCTCATATACTTGAAAAACTATACTCCGCTACATCTTTTCTTCTTGTACATATATATTATTATACACTTCCTTAGTGTGAAGAAAAGTGGTACATTTTAATTGTCACCTTTTTTCTGTCTTTAATAGGAATGAAACTGTAGAAGTGATTTGAATCGTCTTCACAAACTGGGCTAATCCGATTTCAAATCACCTAAGGTGGCAACAAATCCACGTTATGCTTTCCTTGTCCTATCTCCATCTTGCAATACATGGATTTGCTTTAAGACCCTTGTTAGGCAGTGCATTTGGTCTTTGCATTACTTGCACCTTTCCCCTTCATGCTTCACTAACCTTGCATGTAGTCCCAAAACTATGCTTGCACTGATATGCATCTCCTTTTCCTTTTTGGCTCTGTTGTGCCTAGGAGAACAGAGCCTTAGTTATATTCTCAACGAGCATTATTTATTCCCTTGAACGTTAACCACTCCTTTTCATTTTTGTGGTCTTCTACGAGTTAAAAAAACTGACTTTAAAAACCAACCCAATTTTATAGGGTCTGATTCTGTTTGCAACTAGGCTGGTAAATCATTAGTAATGACCAAAGTCAATGGTGTTCACCCACTGTAAGAGCCTGAGCCTTTGAGTTGCAGATTGCCATCAACTCTAAGAGAAGTCAGTGGGAGCTCAGCATCTTGCAGGACTGAGCCCTAAATTAAATACTTTATTAGGCCTACAACATTTCCTGACAGTATCCCACTGTGAAGTTGGGAACCAGAAAGCAGATACACGTATCTATCATTTTTCTTAAATTGGCATCATTTATAAATGAGAGGGCCAGTCACCCAATGGAAGAGAAAAGTCTGTCTTGCAGCTAAAGGAACTAAGGGAGGTTCTTTTGTGTATCTACCAGAAGGTGAGAATCCATAAGGTTGGTAAAGTGTCTTACTAGGGGAACTCATGGGGTTAATGTGTTTTATAGAGGTGGAAATGCACACGGCGAGTGAAGGTTTAATGGGACATGGTTAGAGCAATTCATAGGAGAACTTTGAATCGGTGAAGGGAAGTCCAAAGGAGTTGGGCATTTCAGTAAGGAGTGCACATAGAAATAAGCTGCTCATGAGGGAGTGACAGGGCCGGCTCTAGCTTTTTTGCCGCCCCAAGCAAAAAAAAACGAAAAAAACCCCCCCAAAACCCCGGCAGCCGCAGGGAGCGTGGTCAAGGCGGCTCGCAGGGGGGTGAAGGGCGGCGCCTCGCAGCCGGGCGAGAGGGGCTCCCCCCCCTGGTCTTGGGCTGCCTCTCCCGGCTGGGCAGGCAGAGCCCCCAGGGGCTGCAGGAGGTGCTGGCTCAGCCACTCCTTTAAAGGTGGCTCGGCTGGGCCGAGCTCAGAGCAGCGTGGGAGGCGGAGGCCGGTGCAGGCGGCGGGGAGTGGTGCATCCCGGGGAGCCCGGTGGCACAGTGAGCGGCGGGGATAGCTAGTTCCTGCCCCCCGGGCCGGGGTCCGTGCCCCTGCAGGGCTGGGCTGGGACTGGCGGAGTGCAGGGAGCCGGCCAGGAGCCCCGGAGCTGCGGACCAGGCTGCCAACGCAAAAAAAAAGAACCACGGCAGGGCAGCCGGAATGTGCCGCCTCAAGATTGTAAGGGGCGGTATTCCAGCCAATGTGCCACCCCAGGCAAGTGCTTTCTCATCTGGTGCCTAGAGCCGGCCCTGGGGAGTGAGCATGCGTGGTTGCGTCTTGGGGTGGAGTCTCAAGGGGAGCTGCAAGCATAAGGAGAATTGCATGCATGGTGGGTGTATGGGGGGGAGATGTACGCAAGAGATTTTTCTACTAAGACAAGAAGACATCTTGACTCTCCCTACCCCAGGGTGCTACTGTCTTTTAAGTGGAGAAAGGGAAGTCAGTAACCAATTATCTCCAACAAAGATTTGTGCTATAACAAAGGCTGGTGGAACCTATGGTATCTTGTCTTGTTCTTATAATAAACAACAAAGAGACTTAATTCACTAACAGACATAACACATGACAAAACAGAACATAATATAGGCTTTGCCTGGGTGGATGCCTAATGTTCCAATGTCTTCCAAGGGCCTGGTCCTGCTTCTCTGACGCACGTGACTAATCCAGTTGAAGACCAGTGCTACTTATCTGAATAAGGGCAGCAGCATCAGGTTAGGCAATTTTGCTTTTTTTCCTATAGCTTAACCTTAAAAATTGACATGTAAATTTTATTTCCATTGGTTAGTATAATGAACAAGTAGAACAAAGCACAATAAATATCAAAGCAAAATTAAAAAACAAAATAAATGGACCATAAAATTGTGCCTACTGCTTCTGTTTAGTGTGATGAATAATAATAATAAATAAGAATACAACAGAGAAGATAAATTATGCTACAAACATGGCAGTATCTTATTTGACTATATTTGTTATCAAGAAGACATGCAGTCCAGAAACTCATGGCATACACATTGGCAAAAGCCATAAACCATGAGAATAACAAGGCTCGAAGGAACAAGGCTGACGAAAACGACCCCCAGGGTGACTTTCTTAGATACCAGTAAGTAGATCCCTAAAGGCAAGGAACTAAAGTATAGCAAACCTAACAACCAAATGAGCACTCGAATTGAGGTCTGGAAGAGCAAGGATGTACAGTTCCACACTGTCCAGTTGTGGGATACAGTTGCAACAGAGTCAAAACTCGTGGGCCTGTAGAATTCCACCACCGGGGTGGAGTTCAGAGTCTGTGGGCTTTCTCTCTGCACTTCCATGATGGTTATAACCAGGCAGTTGGAGGAAGCGTGAGAAGGGCTAACAAGAGATGCCAGCCTTTTGGGAGTTAGCAACAGTTCTGTAGGATTATCTGGTAGGCACTTCTTCCCCTTTCCCCCACAAGCCAAATTCACAAGGATGTTGTTGTCGTCAGGAAGACTACTAACCTCATCATCAGGCAGGCATGTCTCAAACCTACAGAATGGGCACACTATGACTCCCTGAGGAGAGTCCCCGAAGTCTATGATCTTGCAAAGGCATTTGGCACATACTCTGTGACAACACTCCAGCACTTTTGGTTTCCTCTGTCTCTGATTATAGCGGTTGTAACAGATCTTGCACTCAAGCTCATCTAAACCCTGGGACTCCACAGTATCCTCTGGTAGTTGACTGATCATTTCTTCTAATGGTTTGTAGACGTATGATGATGGGAGTCAAAAATAAATGCTTCACTAAGGATGCTATTAGGGCGCCTCTCAGATTATCACATCACCCATATCAGTCAGGAAAACATCATCACAAGTACCAGTAATCTTCATTCATTTTCAGCTTCTGTCAATGACTTTGTACTGTGTGTCCTTCACTCTGTGCCATGGATCCATGTAAACAAGACAATGTGGAGTTTCTGTAGAGGAAAGAGAGTCTAGCATTGTTAGCACTGAATTGACAAGTCTTTTACAGCTTTATCTTCCCAACAACATTTAAAAAGCTCCCTAAAAGCATTCTTAAAATAGTTTGTGTGTGTCAGACAGGGCATACACAGCAACCTTGCTGATTATAACATTTTATACCACTCCAGACATTTATGTATCTTTAGTCTCGTGTGTAGCCCCATTGCCTCTCTAACCCCATTAAACCCTTATTGGATCCTCGTTCTGTTAGATTTGTTCACTTATCTAGGACCCTGTTTTTTATTTTTCTCTCTTTACAGCTTACACAGCTGTAAGCGCACCTCTTTTCCATTATGCCTCAAAGTCAAACTCACAGGGCAATGAGGCATAGGCTTTTACTATCCAGTCAACAGTCCCCCTTAAAAATATATTTTGAGCCCAACCAGTACATCTCCCAAGTGCCCTGTCCCTTTTTTCCTGGTGCTTCTGACTTTCTATGCTGTGATGACTGGTTGTAGACCCCTAACTAGAAAGAAGGTTGTAGGAAACTTGCATTGCTGCACCCCTTGTACTGGGTGGGGTTTCTGCCATCAGGACCTGCAGCTTGGGTTGTGCTGACATAAAGAAACAAGTCCCGCTATGTAACAGATATTGTGTGTATTATCCTGGCTTTGGGGCATGTTACAGATATTAAATACAAAATATTAACCAATGCTACCTACATTGGATAATAATAATTGTCAACCTCTTTAAACCAGTGCAATGTGCCAGAGGGCAAAAAACTTCCCATAATATTATCCCAAATTCATTCACATTCTTGGCCAAAAAACTAAGTTTCACAACATGTTTTGAAGACCACAGCAAATTCATGCTCTGGCAGAGTACCAGAGACAGTGTGGACACAGCTAGCTACTTGCCACTAGGAACACCTGTCCTAATACTCTGATCCAGCTGAGCTGTGCTTGCAGAGGCGGATTAAAATTTCCCAGGGCCCAGGGCCAGAGCAAATGGGTGGGCCCTCCCCCCACTTCTGCCTATGACCCCGCCCACAGCCCCACCCCTTTCTGCCCCTTCCCTGGGATCTGCCCCTGTTCCACTCACGGTCCCCCCATTCCGCCTGCCTCACAACCTGTTTGCTCCTTTCTGTACCCCCCCCCGCCACTGTGGCCTCAAGACCAGAGAAGCTCTGTCCCCGTGCCATGAGCCTGGGGCCGTAGCAGGGAGTGAGAACTTCTGCAGGGGACCAGGATTGGGGCTCTGGGGTTTCTCCTGCCCTGCCTGCCAGGTGCTTGTGCCAGAGAGCAGGATTGGGCATGGGGACTGCCCCTGCTGCCCTGCGGCTTTGGTCAGGGACAGGGTTGGGGCACTCGGGGCTTCCTCTGCCAGGGATGGGGCTGGGGGCCACTGTGGGGGCTTTCCCCACCCAGGAGCTTTTGCCAGGGAGAGGGTTGAAAGGTGCAGGGGGAGCTTCCCCCGTCCCGCAGCTTTTGCCAGGGTTGGGGGCCACTGGGTGGGGAGGGTTCCCCTGTTCCACAGCTTCTGCTGGGGCCACAGGAGGAGCTTCCTCCATCCCATGGCTTCTGCCACGGTCAGGGGATTACTGGCTGTCGAGAGTAGTCTTTGGGGTATTACTGTGTAGTCCTAATCAAAACTTAGCTCTCTACCTATTTTTGTTTTCTGGCCCTGATGAGCGTTTCCAGGCTTCACCACAGCCTAAGTCCTTGTATTTGTATTTGTCTATCAATCTTTAAACTTTATTTTCTTGACCATTAGTTTTGGCAAGGTCTTGATTTTTTTCCTCTCGGGAAATTTATATCTTCATCTTACACTGAGGCAGAATAGTCTCTCTTTTTAGATTCTTCTGTCAATTAATTGTCATCCTCTCAGGCGACCAAACATCTCCTTTATGGATCTCTTATTCCAATGTACTTGTATTTTGTAATATTTGTCTTAACTTCCTGTTCAAATTGGGTTCAATTCTCCACTTCTAGGTTTTTAAAATTTACTTTCTTTCCAATTGTTTACACAAGATACAACACTTTGTTTTCCATTGCTGTTTCGTTCAATGAAATAGAACAAACATATAATAATATACTCCTGTGAGAATTTATAATATACAGACCCCATTATTCATTTTCTTAACTTATTTCTACATCTTCTCACTTCATTTGCTAATCTTTCCAAACATCCTCCACATCTTATTCATAAGTTAAATTATTATTTGTATTGTGTTAGCAATTGGAGGCATTATGCTAGGCACTGTAAACACATAATACAAACAGCTGGTCCCTGCTGCACAGAACTTAAAATCTAAGTATACCAGGAGACACAAGAGGTGGATATTTTATACCTCTACCCCAATATAAAGCGACCCGATATAACACAAATACGGATATAACACGGTAAAGCAGTGCTCCGGGGGGGTGGGGCTGCGCACTCCGGTGGATCAAAGCAAGTTTGATATAATGTGGTTTCACCTATAACGCAGTAAGATTTTTTGGCTCCCGAGGACAGCATTATGTCAGGGTAGAGGTGTATATCTCACATGACCCGTGGTTACTTTTTGCACATCTTTATTCATTCACACTAGTCTTTATTTTACTCCTAGTATCTCTAGATGACCTTTAGTCATACATAAATGCCACAAGATACTAATCCATCAGGAATTTGGGAAACCTACAAAATGGGCACAGTAAGATGAAATGCTGCCCGTCAGGGATCCTAAGTCCCCCAGAAAAGGCTTAAAAAAAAACCTAAAAAAATTCTGGGCCTTGGATTTATAAAACCTGAGTCTCATCTGGCTTTTTGTACTGGATGTGAGATAGGGCAGTGAATTCATCAATTCACAATTAGAGTTGGTCAAAAATTCTGTCAAAACTGTTTTTTGACATAAAATTGGGAGTTTGAGAAACCAAATTTTTTTCACAAAGAGTCTGCTTGCCACGGAAAATTTCAACTTCTTGTTAAAAACCCTCAAGCCCTAAATTTTCAGATTTGAACCAAAAATGAAAGTCAAACATTTCTGCAGCAAACCAACCCATTTTCCAACCAACTCTACTCATAATTTTAATCACATTCGCTTGCATACCATAAACATGTATTGTATGCTAAAAAAAGTATTTCGGTGTAGCAAAAAATACAGTATTTTGCTCAATTCTATTCTCTTTATTTGGCCAGATTCAGCACTACTATAAGACATCAAAATTCCATTGAAGTTATAAAAGTAGTAGATTTGGCTCATTATTTCAGATTCCCTGAACCCCTTCTTCTGGCCTTCAAGTAACCCCCCCAACCTCTCCAGGCTCATCATCACAAGCAAGCGCCACACAGACCAGAACACACCAACTCAAAGTGGCACCACGCCCTGCCACAACAACAGATGCAAAACCTGCAGCTGTATCTCCACGGTTATGGTGATCAATACCCCCACAACACGCCTTTCAAGATTCCTGGGTCCAACAACTGCCTATCACAACATGTGGTGTACCTCATCCAGTGCACTAAATGCCCCAATGACAACAGTGGGTGAAACCAGACAGACAATCACTATGCTCTCGAATGAGCTCACGCAGCAAAATGATTAAAAAAAAAAATACAAAAACACACTATCACCTGTATGTGAACACTTTTCACAAAACGATCACTCTGTATCTGACCTCTCAGTCCTCATCATTAACAGAAGCAGGCACAACGCTTTCAAAAGATGAGCCTGGGAACTTAAATTCGTAACTTTGCTAGACACTAAAAATCTTGGTCTTAGAGACACGGGTTTTATGGCTTTTTACAACAATCGGTAACCTACTAACCTCCCTTTTTGTACTATGACTACAGGGATGTTAACAGGCCACCTCACCCTGATTGGTTCCTTTGCATATGTACAAACTACTTATGCTAAACTATCTGTTCGACCTTGTATTTAGCTGTGACGCTGGGAGTACCTTTCCCAGAAGAGCTCTGTGTAGCTCGAAAAACTTGTCTCTTGTGCCAACAGAAGTTGGGCCAATAAAAGGTATTACCTCGCCCACCTTCTCTCTCTAATCTCCTGGGACTGACTTGGCTACAACACTGCATACAAAAAAGCATGGAGGCAGCCGGGAAGCTGGAGGTGGGGTATGTGTAGCAGCACAGATTCCTGTGCTTATGGGAACTCGAGTCCAGGGCCACACACAAGCACGGCTAAAGAGAGGTTAGAAATCAGTGTTAGTCATGCAAGAAGTTCTCTCTGTATCACAGTTCAGGCACGGTGACAGGGCACTGTTTGTGGGATGCTTGCCCCACGGCTGCTGTGTAGATAAACACAGGACTCCATTCATCAGGGCTATCCAGCCAGTGCTTTTTACTAGCACTCCATTCACACAAATTTGTGTGTACGTGGAAGTTTATGGTTATAGGTACACTATATGCAAATATTCATATTAGCTCAGTCATTAATTTGCATAAAATGTTACCTGGAGCTGTGCAAAACTTGGTAGTTATGAAAAAAGTACTGAGAGAATAACTGGCCAAGGAGCAGGGGAAATGGGTGCTAGTTGTCTGTATGGGCCCATTAAAGGGAGTTTTACTCCCCTTACTTGAGCTTGCTTGCTTAATGTAGACTTTTGTAGAGGGTTCAGACTGGCAGTGTTCATTTGAAAACTGCTCTGCTGCTGCACCCATTTGCTTGCGGGGGGGAGGGGTGTTGCTGGCTTGCAAGGGAGGCATGATGGTGATCCTGAAGGGGAAGCAGGGTGATGCCAGGTGCTTTAACTATCTGGTTGAATCTCTTTCTGTGTCTCCAAGAGGTTATGCAACAAAGTGGGAGGCAGCCAAGTTGCTAGCTGCAGGAGCAGGTGCCCTTTTGTTTCCCTGTGGGCTGGTAACCACCAGAGAAACCTCTGGTGCTTGAGAATATGCCACAAGTGCTGCTGCACTCCACTGAACATGGAACAAATCATTTTTTAGGCTTACAAGTGGGAACAGGAGCCCTTTCCTGTTCCTGATGGAGCTGCTCCACCTCAGCAAGTACTGATAAGGT